GGGACCAAGGCAGTCAGATAAAGGGGCTGGTGGTTCAGAGGAGGAGCCCGGGCTGGGGCCACCCATTTGAGAGTGATGAAGCCCTGAGTGGGCCGGGGAGGGAAGCTGGGGTCACAGTGTGCAGAGTGGAGAGGAAGGGAGAGAGCGGCAGAGAAGGCCGAGAAGTGCCTCCCCGGGCCGGAGGAGCGGGCGAGGGCTGAGGGACAGCAGGGAGGGGACATGAGAGCGCAGCGGTCCTGGTGGCGAAGGCGCCGGGAATCAGGACGCGTGAAGGAGCTGCAGCTGGATCTGCGGTTGGGCCGGTCCCTGGGGACTCGGCTCGGCAGATGCGGGGTCGTGGCTGCGCGGGCAGCCGGGCGGGAGCAGGCTCAGCAGGGAACCGATTGCGGTGAGGAAGGGGGTTTCTTCACCTGGCCTGACTCTTTATTCGTCAGAGTGGGAAAGGCGAAGCTCTCTCTTAGAGAAACATTTCCAGTTATTTGCAGGAAATCCTGACGCGGTGAGCGACTGGGTCTGGGCTCATGAATGTGAGAGCTTTATTTGAGAGCTTTTTCACAATAGACAGAGGGGCCAGGGGACCCGACACCCCGGGGAGCAGCGGCCTACCCCGGCCCGGGGCTCCCGGCACAGGCGCAGCCACGCCCGTCTCTCCACCCCCACGGGGCCGGACACCTGCTGTGGGGGTCCCAGCAGGCGGGGAAGTGGTCGTTAATGAGATAAAATCTTCAAGCATCATAAACACACACTTTTTCTTTTTTGGTGTGTTTGTGTGAGGCAGTGACTTTTTTGGTACTTCCTTATTTTCCAATAAAATTAAATAAACACGCATTAGCTTTAGTAAACAGAACACAGTACAATGAGTGTGCCGGGATGAGGGGTTGATGCGGTTTCCCTTGGTTTTTAATGAAATGAGTTTTAGGCCTTCCCTTCACCCCCTGCCCTGCTGCAAACAGCACTGCTATTCCGCCCCCCACAGTAGTCTTCGCCGTGTGATGAATTACATCAGCACCCCCTCCCGGAGAGATGGGCTGACCCCTTTGGAGGGGGTGCTGGGAAGAGCGGGACAGGATGCAGTGGCAGAAGAAATGACCAGTGTGAGATTCTGAGTCATGGATTGTCACAATTAGAAGGCAGACAGAGTGTGTTGCTGTTGCTGCGTTTGCTGCCTGTTCCCGGGAAAAAGCTTTGGGAATTAAAATAATGGGCTTTTAAAACAGGAGCGGGGTAGGCTCTTCGTCATGGCCTGTACCCGGCGCATTAGCTGCACACAGACCCAGACAGCCCTGCGGCCGACCGGTCCTAGTGAAGCCAGATTGAAATGTCACCCTCAGCAGCCCCCTGGGCGAAGGAACAAGGAGTCCAACAAGAGGGGACCCTCATGAGTCGTGGGAACAGGCTAAGAAAGGAGTCCCAGGAACCCTGCCATCGAGGCTTAGGGAATCGGGTCGGCCTGTTGAGGAGTGTAGCTTTGTGATTACACAGTAAATCGCTCGCGGACAAACCCCAACTCTTGAGCACCCTCCCGTGAGAGAAGGGCCCTGCTGAGACAAGGGCTTCGCGGGGCTGGGGGAGGCTTGGGAAGAGGGGAGACTGGCGGGAGGAAGGGGAATCGCCTGCTCTGGAAACCAGACTCCAAGACACGGCGACGCCCTGCGGGGTCAGCAGCATCAGCCTTCTCCATCAGCAAGGCCCCGGCCCAGCCCCGCTCATCAGGAGACCCGCACTGCATACTCGGGTAAGCGGAGAAGGGGAAGGAAGGGAAGGCCGAGTGGGGGGAGCCAAACCTTCCCGCCTTTTAGGTCCGTGTGCAAGTCTCCACCCAACAATCCGGGTCTTTTTATAGGCCTTGTGGATGGTCTTGCCAGCCCAGCTTTCCTCGAAGGAGTTACGTCGGGTTCCCAGCTCTCTGACTCACCTCCTCGCTGCTGCCCAATGGACTCCCCTCCCCGCCCAGGGTGTTGAGAGCTGCATCGAATCCCAACGCTGAGCTGCCCCTCCCCACTCTGTGCATTTCACTCCTTCACTGCATCTTCTGTAAGGCATGACTCGGCAGGGAAAGAGGCAGGGAAAGAGGAAGGCACTGTCTTCTCGCTGGTCCAAAAAGTCCTTGGGTGTCCCCTCCCCAGTGGCCATCTAGGGTGGTAGCTACACCTGCCCATCTTCCGCTAACACAGCCCTGATTTTGCTCAGGTGCCAGCTGGAGTTCCTTTGTGTGCGGGGAAGGCAGTCCTGGTCCCTGGCCTACTGGTGGGCATGTGAAATGCGGCTCTGGCCAGGGAGACATACAGGGAAGTCTGCTTAGAGGCTTCTGGGAAAGGCATTCTCTCCCTGAAAAAGGGCAAGGGCCGAGCAAGCATCAAGTCTTTGGCTGCCCTGGCCCTCCTGCCTTTGAACGTGGTTGTCAGGCCTGGAGCTATGGTGATCGTATTGTAAGGACAGGAAAATGGAAGGATAGAAAGACTTTGGGTCTTTGTTGACATTGCTGAGCCCCCAAAGCAAGTGCAGGACACCCACGTCCAGACGTCTTACCATGTGAGATGATTAAATGTCTTTTGTGCTTAAGCCACTGTTGACGTGGGATTGTTACCTGCAGCCAAATGCACAACGTCGGACCTCTGTGGTCTCCTCCATCCACGTCGACCCATCAGTGATGTCTACGCTCACCACCTCTAGTTCACGTGCTCCCCGGGTGCCCAGCTCTACCTGCGCCCCTGGGATCAGCCGTAAGAGCAGGTGGTGGCAGATCTCAGGACTCAGAATGGAATATGGGGGACCCTGCGTCAGGGCCAGGCCAGCTGAGACTGTGGGCAACGGCAGCAGCCTGGAGACCTGGGGTTCCAAACAGAAACTTAATGGGAGGCTGCCATGGTGGCCCCAAGGACATCCCGGCCCGAGGTCCCAGCTAGTTTCCTGAATCCTCACAGCAAGGCAGAAACAAGAGCTGGCCCAGGAAGGGGGAGGATTTAGGCCTTTCCTATGGCGCCAGCCAGGGACCCCAAAGGCCCCCCTAAGCTGCACAGGGGAAGGAATGCTGTAGAAGCAGGAGCAGCCCCGTGGCTGGCCTGGAGCTGCTCCTGAAGCAGACACTGCGATACGTTGTCATTTGAAGGGAATCAGAAGCCCACCCACCCCTAAGAAGTCCCTCAGACATCTGAAGTGTCAGCACTAACAGTGACTTCTTGGGAGTAAGCAGTGTCCTCTTTCTTGTTCCCTGTAAACTCGAAGTCCCCACATACAAGCAGTGCAATGAGTGCTCCTTTCTCTGGGAGATTTGGGTGGAACAGAAGTCACCAGAAAGCCGAAGGGAAATGACAGAGTCTGCAAACCTTTTCTGTAAATACTAAATAATTTAGGCATCAAAGGGCCATATGGTCTCTGTCACAACTGTTCACCTTCTGCCACTGTAGCGTGAAAACAGCCGCAAACAATATGTAAATGGTTGGGTGTGGCGGCGTTCTAATAAATCTTTCCTTACGGACACGGAAATTTGAATTTCATATAATTTCACATGTCATGAAATATTACTCCTGATTTTTTTTCAACCACTTAAAAATGTAAAACCCATTCTTAGCTCACAGCTGTACAAAAATAGGTCGCAGGCTGGATTTGGCTCCTGGGCTGCGGTTTGCCAATGCCAACCCCTGGGGTAGAGCGCTCAGGAGGAGAAAACGTACAGCCGAGCAGCCACTTATCTGATTATGGGAAAATCGTGTTGATGAAGGCTGGGAGAAACCTCAGCTGGTGGGCAGCCTGGGGAAGGGAGCTCTTGGGCCCAATGTGGTGGTAAAATGTTGCTGCTTTTGCCTGTGCCTCTGTGCTCTGGCCCACGGGTCAGCAAGTTACCCGGCTCCCGCGGGCAGGCAGACCCCCAAACACAGGGGTGAGGGCAGGGGCATCCCCCAAGTCGGGGTGTCATTGGGGCTGAACAAAGAATAAATGCCCCACACAGCAGCCACGCCACTCACTGCGGTTCTGAAGGACTTCGGTCCTCCCGACTGGAGAATCCCCAAGTGGAATGAGCGTGAATCTCTGCCACTCTAAGACCAGCCAAAGGGGCCGTGCAGCTCAGCCTTGAGAAGAGGCGGAGGTCCTTCAGAGCCGGGTGCTGACCGAGGCGGCAGAACTAAGAAGGGGTGGTGGTGGTCGGCTTTTGCAGAGCTCTGGACCTGCCCTTGCTGCTCCTTGGCCAGAAATGGCGTTTTCTTGCCTTCTTCATCTGGTAAACTCCTATTTTTCCTTCAACACACAGCTCAAATGTCACCTCCTCCGTGAAGCTCTCAATTCTCCACGACCAAGCTAGTTTCTCAGTCCTGCTCCCAGGTTTCAAGAGTACTCTGCATTTACCTCACTGAATTTCACTCTCTGGCTCATGGGTACTGCTGCTTTCCTGGGCAGGGAAGGAACCGAGTCTTACGACATGAAGGTCCTCTTCTAGCTCCCAGGGCAAGAACCTGGCCCTCAACAGGTGCTCCCTACCTGTTTCACAGGTAGATGAATTACATAGGCAAGAATATACCTTCTGTGGCAGGTGGAGTTGTTGTCCACTTTCTTCTCTCCTAATACAACCCACCTGCCATGACAGAAACTGAAAATGCCAGAAACTTGCACTCTCAGCCTCCCTTGCAACTAGGGGTTGCCAAGTGACCCACTTATGGTTAGTAAGACTTAAAGAGATGTCTCCAAGGGGCTTTTTTCCCCTTTTGATAAAAAGAGCAACTCGAGAGAGGAGGGCTCTCTTCCTTGTCCTTTTCCTTCCTGTCTTTGAACACTACTGTGAGAGAATGTGATGGCTGGAGCTGTGGCAGCCATCTTGAGATCTTGGGGCAACAGCCTGAAGACAAGAACCAGTATGTTCAAAATGATGCAGTAGAAAGATTGGAATAAGCCTGGGTCTTTGATTATTCATCCCTAGATCCGACCTGGAAATCGCCTACTTCCAGATTGCTCATATGAGACAATAAAAATGCCTATTGTTTAAAACCACTTTTAGTGGGTAATTCTGTTACTAGCAGCAGAGAGCATGCTAACTGCTACATGCTTTCACGCCCATAACAGCAATTAGGGACTCTACAGAATAAACAAACCTCTTTTCCTGTCTAGCACCAGTTTAGCAAAATGAAAAGACAAAACCACCTCAAACTTATTTTCACTTAAAATTATGAAAATATTATCCATGTTTTGTTTTCAAATTAAGTACACCAAAGTGAGTAATAATGTTCTGTGGCTTAAGCATAAACCCAGAGGTCAGAACTCCTGGGTCGGCACCTGAGCATGTGCAGTCTTGCTCGTCTCCTTTGGGGAGCATCACACCCCTCCCCAAGGCTCCAGGCCTGAAGACCAGGGCAACGTGAATAAGGATGCTCTGCCACCAGGGTAATCTCTCACTCGATCCGATCCTCACATGCTATGAATTATGCAAATATGTTGAAAAGCTCTGTGCTAAGTTGCCTTAGGTGAAAAACATCTAGGCAAATGTGTCCTTTACCAGCAAGCCAATAGAAGAATCTGAATGAGCTGAATCACAAACTCAAAAGTTTGAGTTGACAAACTGAGCAGGAGCTGGTCGGGGCATGGAGGGCAGATGGGAATCCAGATGGAAGCGAAGCACGAGCTGGCCCACAGGAGTGGAGAGGAGAGTGTGTAGGAGAGCAGGGGTCAGAGTCAGGCTCTCACGTCAGCCTGAGGAGTTGGACTTGTCTTGGGCTTGAAGGAGAGATGGGAGGGTTTAGGTGGAAGGCACATGGGTCAAATGTGCATTCTAGAACTGTCTCTCTGGCAGCCTGTCTGGCAGCTGGACAGAGGAGGGAGACAGAGTTTGGGGTCAGGCACAGAGTTAAGTTCTGACCAGTGCCTGCCATTTAGACCCCGAGTCTGGAGGGTGTAGGCATGCACAGTGCCTGGTATACAGGAAGGGCTCAATAAATGGTCACCATTACTGTTTCTATGCTGTGTGTCCCCCAGCACCGTCTGCAGACTGATGGCTACAGAGCACATCAACCAGGGGAACCCTGCGGCTGCTGGGCTTCTATCAGCCATCAACACCCCAACCCAACAATACAGCACACACTTGCCGACAACCTGTGACGGCGGCCCTTCAGCTGCGCCCTCCCCTGCCCGCACATCTTCCCATCTCCCACCTCCACATACATCTTCCCCGTCTCTCCCTTCCACGCACATCTTCCCGTCTCCCACCTCCACCGTCTACCTGATTCAGGAGGGCCTTGCTTGTCAGGCTGAACCCCAGCTCCAGGTCCACACTGGGGGACGGAAGCTGACTGTTACAGGAGCACCGACTTCTGGTCACCTGGGAGGGGCCGGCTCAGAGACAAGTCAGAGGAACCCGAGTCCCTGGTAAGAAACGTCCTGGGTGCCCTGGGGCCCTTCACCAGGACTCCCTGTTCTGTGTGCAGCAAGTAAGTGGCAAGAGTTCCAAGAGCACCCCGTGGCCCTGCAGCCATCACAGTGGGACTGCAGCCCTCCTGCTAAACCCAGATGTGCCGAACGCCCTCAGTGCGTGCTCAGGCAGCCCTTTTAACGGTCTGGGCTTGTCCCCTGTTGGCATGCTTTCAGGAAGCCATTTCTGCCCCGCTGCTCGCTGCTCGGGAGGCAACTGGACTGTCGTGACCCTCCTGGGCCCTCCTCTCTATGCCCTCACTTACCCTTGGGTGGGAGCAGCTAATACAATGAGACTGGCGTTTCCTAATCCCTTCCAGAGCTGGGGTCACATGTTGGGGGACAGCCCAGGCCCTCTGACTGCCCAAGTGACAGGCACAACAGGGGACCTGCAGGCTCCTCCTTGCAGGAGAGGGGAGGGGAGGGACTCGCTGTTGAAAAAACATTTCGATTTTTCAACAGTCCAAGTTACTTTATCCAACTTCTCCTTAGCCAATCATCAGAGAATAAATTTCTAACAGTCCTCGGTGAGAGCCAGTTAATTAGCTACACCATTAATTAGCTTCCTCAACGAGGAAGGCGAAGGCATTATCACTGGCTCACAGCGTCTTGATAAGAATTTTGCAAAAACTAGAGAAGGAACTGCAGATGTTTGCCTGTTCAGATTTTCTGCAAATACACGCTCTTTTCTCAGCCAGAATTGGGCAGTTCCCCTCACAATTAGTTGCAAACACACTCGCCTTATATTGAAGTCTGTCTGTGGCCACCATAGTATTTCTCTTTTTCTAACATCTAGGCCAGAATTCCTGAAATCAGTGAGTAGAAATCTGGACGCACTGGGGTTTCTTCCAAACAAGAGGGTCTTTTTCCTCCAGAAAATGCCCTGTACCAAACAGCTTCAAAGCCTAGTCATAAAGGAACGTGCTTTATCATAGTAAATGGAAAGGAATGGGTAAAGGACAAGAGCACTGAGCAGGCTAGTGGCCAACCAGCTCAGTCACTGCCAAGCTGCATTAAATCAACGGTGCCCCAGGAAGAGTTCATCAATTTGTATTTAAACAAAGAGTGAGAAAAACAACCCAGCACCCTGAAAAAACAACAAAAAAGATTAAATCATCTTTCAGCTGACAAAATATGCTGTTTGAATATATTTAACTCCAACCATAGGCTGAATTCCAATTTCAGGATCTTATTTAAGGAAAAAGCTTAGAGGCTTACTCCACAAAGTAGAAAACACATTTCCTCATACCTTTTATTGTGTTATTCTCATTAAAATAATACACATTCAGTCATATGTTTCTTCATACACATGATTTTTACATAATTAAGATAACTGATTTCATATTCTATGTTTTTAAACTTAGCGTTATATCATAAACCTCTCTGTCATTAAAAATCCTTCGGGGGGGCTGGCCCAGTGGCGTAGTGGTTAAGTTTGCACGCTCCGCTTTGGCGGCCTGGGGTTCTCCAGTTTGGATCATGGGTGTGGACCTACACACTGCTTATCAAGCCATGCTGTGGCAGCGTCCCACATATGAAGTAGAGGAAGATGGGCACAGATGTCAGCCCAAGGCCAATCTTCCTCAGCAAAAAGAGGAGGACTGGCAACAGATGTTAGCTCAGGGCCAGTCTTCCTTACACACACACAAAAAAATCCTTCAGGGGCCACCCGCATGGCGTAGTGGTTAAGTTCAGCACTCTCTGCCTCAGCGGCCCAGGTTTTCGGGTTCAGATCCCGGGTGCAGACCTACACCACTCATCAAGCCATGTTGTGGTGGCAACCCACATACAAAATGGAGGAAGACTGGCACAGATGTTAGCTTGGGGGCTAATCTTCCTCAAGCGAAAAACAAGGAAGATTGGCAACAGATCTTAGCTCAGAGCGAACCTTCCTCACCAAAAAAAAAAAAAAAAAAAAAAATCCTTCTGTAACTTTCACCAGTGCCAACGCTCCACTGAAAGTGTTGATCAGATCCTTGATCCCCATCAAAAGGACACTTCCTGTCATCTTCCGTGGGTTCACGTCTCACTGGCCTCTGGCACTGCTGGCCAGTCTTTTCTTGATCTGCCCTCCTCCCTGGGTTTCTGTGACTCCAAAGGACTGGTTTCTCTCCTGTCTGTCCTGTTAAAGATGTCAAGGGACTTCTCCTCCTTCTTCTGCTGTGCCACTACCTGCTGGAGCTCCTCGAGGTGGGAATTCTCTTCTCACTTTATGTTCTCTCCTTAGGTGACCTCAGCCCTCCTTGAGGCTTCAATTATAACTTACAGTGATGATTCACACATTTCTTCCACCCCAGGCCTGTATGCCCGACCTCTGTCTCAACCTTCCCCTTGGAAGTCAAAGCCCACGTGTCTACAAATGAACTCTGGATCTCCCCCAAGCCTGGCCCTCTTCCAGTATTAGCCAACCTGGAGAATGGCACTATCATCCATCCTGTTCTCAAGCCAGAAACCCAGGAGTCATCGTGACATTCCATCCCCCTCCCCCCTAATCTAACCAATTTGTGGTCAAATCCATAAGTGTTTCCTTCTAAGGTCTCTTTCAAATCCTTCCACTGCTCTCATTCCAACAGGCAGGGTCAGCATGTAGGGGTACGCACTGCACAAATGCCACCACCCAGGCCATTACCTCTTGCCTGCTCTACAAGAATATCTACCAACTCATCTCCTCCCCTTTAGGTCTCTCCAAGCAATTTTCCAACCAGAAGCTAGAGGGATCTTATTAAAATGCAAATCTAATCACGCTGTTCCTTTACATAATTGCTCTCAGGGCCTGGCCTGGCCTGCATCCCCTGAGTCATCACCACTGTGTTCTCCTGGTTTCTCTGCGTGGCCGGGCGCTTTCCTACATCTTCTGCAGCATCCTCCAGCCACTGCGGCCTTCCTACAGCTACTCAAATGTGCCATGACCCTCTCCCTACGCGGCCTTTGAACATCTCAGTCCTCTACCTGCAACGTTCTCCTTCCCGACCCCACCTCTGGAATCGGGCACCCTTCCGCCGACTAGGGAATCTCTCCAATTACACACTTACGTGGAGACTGTCCTCTCCATAGCACTTATCATCACAGTGCATTTGATGTTTAACATTTATTTGTGTGAATCTTTGTCTTTGGTGAATGTCTGTCAGCATCACAATGGTAGGAATTATGTCTCTCTCTTTTTCTTTTACTTACGAATGAATCCCCGGCAAGGAGAACACAATCAGTGCTCAATAAATATTGGTTGAAGGAATGAATTACCTAGACAATATGTAATATAATTTTGCCATTCTTTCAAGAAATATTAAATGCCTACTACATTTTACATTTAGGTTTCCTGGTTTTTGCTATTATAAAATGCTATCATAAATATCTTTAAACATAAAACGATTTGTTCTTCCAATCATTCAGTCATTTTTTAAAAATAAAGGCTCTTGATATACATTGCCTAACTGCTTTTGAAATACCTCTTTTCTACCTTAATATAATGATAAACTTTGCTAATTTGATGAAAAAAAACTTTAATTTGCATTTCTTTGCTGAAAGTGAAGGTTTTCATGTTTTGTAGCTATCTATATTTCCTCATTGATAAATGTCCTGTCATTTATTTAATCAGTCAAGTCTTAAAATTTTTTAAATTAAACTATGTGAGCTTTTAGAGTAAGGATTTGTCAATCATATTTCACGCAAATTATTTTTCCCAATTTTTGCCTTTTTAGTTTATGTGATGTTTGATATTATTAGATACTTAAACATATTCCACAAACAGCTTTTGACCTTTCCTTTATGAGTTCTTACATTGTTTTTATATTAACGAGTGGTTCTGAAAGTGTGGTCTCATAGCAGTATTTGCATAACCCAGGAACCTGTTAGAGACGTAAATTGTTCTCCAGTACACACCTGTAATATCAGAAACTCTAGGGTGGAGCCCAAAAATCTGTGTTAACAAGCCTTCCAGGCACTTCTGACACATGAAAAAGTTCAGAGCCACTGGTCAAGAAAGGCCTCTAACCTAGGGTTTCTTCTGAGCTTTTCGTTTCATTTGACTCTTTTTGGTTTTTAGTGTAAAGAACAGAATTAAGTTATTTTTTTCTTCCAAATCCCCATTGATTCATGATGCTTCCTTTATCCTATACTGTTTTTTATAAACATTCAGGTTTGCTTCTGTGGGTTTTTTTAAACAGCTTGAGATATATCTTACATACCATAAAATTCACCCATTTAAAGTGTGTAGAATAGTTTTTAGCATATTTGCAAGGTTGTGCATTCATAGCTGATTTTAGTTATTTGCACCTTCCTTTTTCCTTGGTGAGTCTAGCTAAAGTTTTGTCAATTTTGTTGATTTTTTCAGAGAACCCAACTTTTGGATTCACTAATTTTTTCTATTACTTTTCTTTCCTTTCTTTCATTTATTCTGCCCTAACATTTATTATTTTCTTCCTTTTGCTTGCTTTGCCTTTAGTTGTTCTTTTTCTAGTTTCTCAAGATGGAAGGTTAGGTCATTGATTTGAGATGTATCTTCTTTTTTTTTGTGTGAGGAAGATCAGCCCTGAGCTAACATCCATGCCAATCCTCCTCTTTTTGCTGAGGAAGACTGGCCCTGAGCTAACATCCATGCCCATCTTCCTCTACTTTATAAGGACGCCGACACAACATGGCCTGACAAGCACTGCACTGGTGTGCGCCCAGGATCTGAACTCGGGCCGCCAGCAGCAGAGCGTGTGCACTTAACCACTAAGCCACAGGGCTGGCCTGAGATGTATGTTCTTTTTAACGTAGGCATTTACAGCTAAATTTCCCTCTAAGAGCTACAATAGCAGCATTCCCTAAGTTTTGGTATATTGTGTTTTCATTTTCATTCATCTCAAAGTCTTTTCTAATTTCTTTGTGATCTCTTCTTTGACCCAATGATTATTTAAGACGTTGGTTAACTTCTACATACTTGTAAATTTCCTGAATTTTCTTCTGCTGTTGATTTCTAATTTCATTCCATTGGTCACAGAACATACTTTGTATAATTTCAATCCTTTTTAATTTATTGAAACTTGTTTTATGGTTTATACTGAAGAACGTTCCATGTGTACTTGAGAATGATGTGTAGTTGGGTGGAGTGTTCTATAGAGGTCTGTGAGGTATAGTTGCTTCATAATGTTGCTCAAATTTATTTCCTTGTTGGTCTTCTTTATAGTTCTATCCATTTTTGAAAGTGGGTTATGCAAGTCTCTGATTATTATTGGATTGTCCTTCTCCCTTCAAGTCTGTCATGTTTTCCTTCACATATTTTGGGACTCTGTTGTTAGTGCATATATGTTTATAATCATTACATCTTTCTACTAAGATATAATTATAACTTAATTATAATAATTATTATAATTTATCATTATAAAATGTCTCTCAATTTTGTCCCAAAAAATGTACCAATTTTTGGTCTTAAAGTCTATTTTTTTGACATTAGTATAGTCACTCTAGCTTTCTTTTGGTTACTGCTTCCATGGTATATCTTTTCCCATCCTTTTATTCTTTGACTCTTAAAGTGAGTCTCTCGTAGATAGCATATAATTGGATTTTTAAAAATATCCATCTCTGTCTTTTGATTGGGGTATTTAACCCACATATATATATATATATATATATATATATATATATATACTTACTCATATGGTAGGATATATGCCTGATATTTTTGCTTTGTTTTTTGAATGTCTTATGTCTTTGTTGTTCTATTCCTCTATTACTGCCTTCTTTTGTGTTAAATACTTTCTAGTGTACTTTTTCAATTCCCTTGTTGTTTCTTTGTGATATTGTGATTTATAATAAGAAATATATGTTTGCTCTTTGTCCCTGTTCCTGGCACAGAGCTCCTAACACCCTTAGAAATTCCTAAGTGATGAGTGGGAAAGGTCTTTTGCTATGTTAATGAGGTGACTTTTGGAAAGCCCCTAGGTAACCTAAGGATGAGGGCTGCCTGCCAGGGGAACCAACCGTGTGATCAGAGGACTGGAACGTTCAGTCCCATGCCCAGACCTCCAGGGAAGGGAGAGGGGCTGGAGTTTGAGCTCAATCACCAGTGGCCAATGATTTAATCAAGCATGCCTAGGTAATGAAGACGTCATAAAAACCCAAAAGGACGGGGTTTGGAGAGCTTCTGGGTTGGTGAACATGTGGAGGTGCTGGGAGTTTGGTGCTCTTGGAGAGGTCATGGGAGCTTCCAGCTCGCTCTTCATACCTTGCCCTATGCATCTCTCCCACATGGTTGTTCTTGAGTTATATCCTTTTATAAAATAAACCAGTAATCTAATAATTTTTGAGTTCTATGAGCTGCTCTAGCAAATTAATCAAACCCAAGGAAGGGTTTAAAGGAACCTATAGCCGCTTGGTCAAAAGCACAGGTGAGACCCTGGACTTGTGATTGGCGTCTGAAGGGGATTGGGAGCAGTCTTGTGGGACTGAGCCCTTAACCTTGGGGATCTTACGCTGTCTCTGGGTGGACAGTGCCAGAACTGAACTGAATTGAATTGAATTATATGATACCCAGCTGCTGGTGGAGATTTGCTGGGTGTGAGGAAAAAACTCCACACAATTAAAATTGGGAGTAGAATCACAGTCTTTTACTATATTTTTAAAATTTATTCTGTCAGTGGATGCTCTTGGAATTACAACTAACAACTTAAAACAATCTACTTTGGATTCATACCTATTTAATTTCAATACTGAGTAGTCAATAATTGCTCCAATATACCTTTGTTCCTCCAGACTCCTTAGTGCTATTATTGTCATACAAATTATATCTTTATACACTATAAGTCCATCAACACAGCTTCATAATTATTGCTTTAGGCAGTTAGAACCAATAGGAGAGTTACAAACAAAAATATGTTTATACATTTAAAATGTATATAGTTACTTTTACCAGTGCTTTTTATTTCTTCATGTGGCTTTGAGTTAGTGTCTAGTGGACTTTCATTAAAACCTGAAGGACTCCCTTTAGTATTCCTCATAGGGCAGGTCTGCTGGTGATGAATCCTCTTATTTTTTATCTGGAAATGTCTTAATTTCTCCTGTATTTTTGAAGGAGGATATAGTTAGATATAGAATTGTTGGTTGAAAGTCTTTTCTTTCAAAAGACTTTCTTTGAAGATATCATCCCACTGTCTTCTAGCTTCCATGTTTTCTGATGAAAAGTCAATGGTTAATTTTATTGAGGTATAGTAGTTTCTCTTAATAGATGATTTTCTTGTAAAGCTTTGGTTAAATGTCAAAATTCTAAAATTCATTGATTTTAGTTGTTTTGCCTAGATTTTCATTGTTTTAGAGGGAGAGTGAGTTCAATAAGGTCCTTACTGTCAAGACATTATTGGCAGTTGATCTCTTATTAATATCATATTGTTTTAATTATTTTAGATAACATGTTTTAATATCTTATAAAGAAATTTTCTTTTAATAATTATTTTTCTAGAATAATTGCCTGTTTGGCTAATTTTTCAGCTGAATGTTAGAATCATTTGCTCAAGCTCCAAAAATAACTTCCATTGGACATTTAGAATGCTATTTTTTAAATATCTCACCTTCTTAGAACATTCAAGCTTCCCATTCTCTTTTACTTTAATACTGCTCAGCAAACTTACTGAATTTTTTTCACATAGATTCCACTGTATTTTCCTTAGCCATTTAAAATTTTTTTGTGTGTGCGTGTGTGTGTGTGTGTGTGAGGAAGACTAGCACTGAGCTAACATTGGATCCCAATCCTCCTCTTTTTTGCTGAGGAAGACGCCCTGGGCTAACATCCATGCCCATCTTCCTCTACTTTACATGGGACACCACCACAGCACGCCTTAACAAGTGGTGTGTGGGTGCGTGCCCGGGATCTGAACCGGCGAACCCCGGGCCGCCACAGCAGAGCACGCGCACTTAACCACTTGCGCCACCAGGCCGGCCCCCATTTAAAATTTTTTGTTGTGACTGTGAACTTGGATTAATATGCCATGTTATTTTTTTTAATATAAACCAAACATTTTCGGGGGGGGGGAGAAAAACTACTCATTTATATACCTGAAGTTAATGGAGTCAAGAAGGCTCATTCTGAAGGTGAGAGGTTTGCTATTTTTTTTTTCTTTGAAGCAACAGAATATTCTTGCCCAAGTTAAATCTTAAGCAGAACCTCAATACATAAAAAATAAAAGTTGTCTGGTTGAAAGAGAGATTGAGAGAGAGATGGCCCAAAGCCCTGCACACTCTGTCTCCTGCCTCGCTCCTCACGGCAGCCTCGGAGGCATTTTACAACAACTGGCTGCTCAGTTACCTGTCACAAACAGGAGCCCCTCTGTGGGCTCCTTAGCACAAGCTCTTGCTTTTTAACACTTCATTCCACTTTAAGGTGTTTTCCATCTCTATTCAATGACCACTAACGCATCTGAGTTTCAAGGAGATGCTGCCTCACTGACCTAGACTACTCCTGTCTCCCGTCTGTCTCATACATCAACAGAACAGGAGACTAAACATAAGCTTGAAGATGTGGGTTCAAGAAAGAACATAAGATTTCTGCGATACTTTGTCACTATCCCATCCTATGTCACAACTGAGAGAAGTGTTTTGACTCTATCACTTAGAAATAAATACAGTGCCCAGTTTTCAACTAAATGAGTAGGTAGATCATATTATCTATGAATTTTACTTCAGCAGAGAATAGAGGGTGTTACAAAACAGCTGATGTATGAGGAGGAAGTGGTCTGATAGGGCTTAGAACCACACAACTAGAAACATCTTTAAAATGAGCACTCAAAAGAAAATTTGTGTTCTAAGTCTTTACAAAAGATGTTTTATTAATTAAAATTTTAGGATAAAGGAATTTTAAAAATAACTACGATACTTTAAAAAAACCTACTGAGTAGTTAATGATGTTTCCAATTAGAAAAAACTTGAACCATAAAGAACAGATGGCATGAAGTAGCTGGGGCTACAGAGTGAAAGAAGCCGGAGACCTGCTACATGTGCAGCAATAAGAGGCTTAAACACTGACTTTTTCAACAAAAAGCAAATCGTACTGTTTCACAGTTTGTTTGTGAGACTAATTATTCAATGACATCCTATGGCAATTCCTCTTACAGAAGAGAACTTTTACTCTAATCCAGCCTATCTGTTACCTTCTATGGCAATTCGTATGGCAACACAATGAGATCTAGCACAGTTTCAGATCCAACTCAATTTCTAAAGCATTGGCACTAAGAAAAAATTTAAAGTAATCTATGTGGTATTTAAAAATAATTGAGAATTATGACAACTTAAATTACTTTCAGGAGGTGTTATCTTAAGATATAAGAGAAAGATGGAGGTCTTAGAGGGAGCAGATACACTCACCTCAGGGAGTATAATCCACAAAAGCCAACAGCCCACGAGGGGAAGAGGAAGAGATATTCATTCTGCACAACACTTTTCTGAATAGCATTCTAGGGAGGCTTACTAATTATAATTCAAAACTGTCAGTTATATTCTAATAAGGATGTGTACTTCCCCCCTAAAATGACTTTCCTCTCAGAAGTAAATCAGGAAGGGGACTGAGTTCTGGAAACGGTGAGGCCGAGTCCCAGGCACTCAAAGTTTGGATGCTGCCTTCCCCAACCCCGGGACCTAACTTGCATTCCCATGTTTTGCCTTATGGTCTCCTCAATATGAAATATAATTTGTGTTAGTTTGTCCTTGGAAAAAATCACAGTGGAGTCTGAGAACCTTCTGGGGCCATCAGTTTTTGTCCTTCAGTATCCTGAAGTCAGATAATCTCAACATCCAGAAACATCCTTTGATTTGTTCTTTCTCTGATATCTTGTGTCCTTGGGATCAAAGCCTCTTTCACTGGCACCAAATAAAGCCCAGGGAGGAGTTTTAGCCGTATAATCTTCTGCGCTGAAAGTTTTTGATCCACCGCTGTCTTCATATTCCTGGATGAGCTCCTGGAAGCGGTTATAATCGATCCACGTCCACCATTCTCTATCAATCTTAAACTGGAAAAAAAAATGTCATCAGGTCAGAAGTAAAAATATCCATAAAATAATATCAAATAAATAAAAAATGAGTCTGATCTTTTCCCCCTATCATGTTAGAGAAAATTCTTTCATGCTCCAGATACAGTTCCATATCAAAGCAGAATGTACTACAGTCAAAGGAGTTTCTTTCCCCTTAGGACTGCTGCCACACCAGACCGAGAAGACCCAACTGCTGAATAAAGAATACATCCTGGAATTGAAAGTCAAGTTTATCTTGACTTTCAATGATACTGCTTGAGCAGTATCATTGAAAGAGGGTTAATTAAATTTTTTGGCATAATCATGTGTTAATGGTCAAGCTAATTCTAATTCCTCTTGTTGCCACTTTTTATCTGCTATGAATTTTCATGGTTGTGTTAGCAGCACCTAGTGGAATCCTTTTTATTACTAAACTTCGCTTGAGTTATTAATGAAGCTTTAATCAATGACTTCTAATTCTGAAATGCTAACTTAATTACTCAAACTAGCCTTTTTAGTCTAACACGAATACAATATCTCATTAGGGGAAAGCCTTATTAAGAATTTCAATTCAATAAAGGGGAATAATCCAATTTTTACTGTCTTAAGAAAATTGCTTTTCAAAAGTCATTGTAGAAAATGACCAGGAATGAAGAAAACAGGAAGTTGAGGATGCTCTGAGGGAACTACTAATTGAACTGTGAAGGCTTTTAATTCAAAGCATCTATTTGGCATTCATTCCTGTAAATGTATAATACACTCATACTTGATTATAAACAGACAAATCTTTCTGTTATGCCACCATCTTTTAAGAAACCCTGATTATGAACCAAGTTAAATAAAAATTTCATGTTCTAGCTGAGAAAAATATTGAAAATATATAGGTTCCCGGATTTAGAATATTAAAATATACTGAATGTCAATGACATCTGATTTTTTACCCAACAGCTAAGAGCTTTCTAGGGGGAAAATTGCCAAATAAATGGAAAAGTTTACAATATCTATGAATCATGGGAAATTTTCTTCTAATAAGACCATTCTTTGAAATGGTGCCCCAAGGGCTCTTACGAACTCTACAACCCAAGACGTAAAATCCACATCTCTCCATCATTTTCCCTCTCAAGACTGACTGCTCCCGAGTGTTCTCTTTTACTGTGAAGACAATCACTGTCATCCCTGGGGGCTGGGACTCAAAACTAGAGTCCTCCCTTCCCTGGCCCTTCACATCCAAAAAACAGCCAGGCCCCCATCGCTGCTTCTTCCTTAGCAGCACTTCTACAGCCAGTGCCCTGACATGGCCCTGACGCAGGCCCTTACTTCTGGGACTCTGCAACAGGCTTCCAGCTGACTGATCTTCTGATTCCAGTTTTGGCTGCTTGCAACTTCTGCAGACTGCCTGAGATTACTATGCCTACAGCAGAATATAGCCCCATTATCTAAACATACAGTCTAAATATCAAATCTCTATCTGGAAGCTCTTCATGAGCTACCCTCCTCTCATGTGAGTGCCATGCTGTTCCCTCTGTTTGATTAACACCTACTTAGGCCACAGGTCCCCTCATAAATGTCCTTTGCTCTGGGAAGTCTTCCCAAATCCCTTTAGACTATGACAGTTGCCCTGCTGCAAGACCTCACTGTACCCTGAACTTGCCCAACAGCATATTATAATTGCATCTGTAGTTACCTCCCCCATCCCACTCTACCCTGCCAAGACTGCTGGCTTTGTGAATATAACTGACTTACTGTAATTTATACTGTCACTTAGGACATATAAGGGCCTAACCTCTTCCTCCTCACCTCTTAACAAAGCTAGAAGATCACATAATGAAAACAATTTCCACCTGTTCCACTGACATCTTGAGAGACAGGATCTAATTTTGCTGCTATTGGCTCCATAGTATAGTACGGACTCTTCACAGTGTATTTTCATGATAGAAGGCATGATATTCACACGTGTCTGGAAGCAGTGTGACTTCCCAACCAGTACAGGAATAAACACGTCAGTAACATGTATGACAGTAAAATAAGGCTGATAATGATGCCTACTTTTTATTCCTCCGTCCTATTAACATTTATGGAGTGCCAACTATGGACTTGGCCCAGTCATGGACATTTTAAAAATAATTACAGTACAATATGATCAATAAAAATAATATATATAACATTATATAAAATAAATAAAAATAATATAATATAACATCGTGTGTGCAGTGAACGAGGTTATGCACAAGGCACTTTGGGAGTGCAGAGAAAGATGTAATAAATCACATCCACCTCCCAGGAGCTTGGCCCTGCTAGAAGAATCCTTTTGGGGGCTCCTTGCTTTACTTGCTGAGTAAAATAGATAACCATATTCTCCTCTTCCCTATGACTTTCCGTTTTTGGGTTTGGATCTCTAGGTCTGAAGTCTGACCCCTCAGGGTCCACAGTCTTGGTCTTTTTCCCTCAAACTCTAACAGTGATGACTTGCCATGTATTCTAAGAGGGACTAAAAGATTACCTTGGACTAGAGCAATAGACTTAAAATCTTTTTTTTCCCACAACCTACAATAAGAAATACATTTTATATCTCAATCTAGTACACATACACACGCACACACATACACTCTCTCCCACACATACTCTGGAAACACAGTTTTCAAAAAACTATAGGCAGTGTATTTCATTTAAAAAATTGCTGACTGCAACCCACGAAACTGATTTCCTAACTCTAACGCGGTTTGAAGAAGATCTGGTCTCTTTTGACTATAAAATTCTACCCTGGCATAAAAGGGAAGAAATTAGTTGCACAGATATGACAATTGTAAGGTAATATCTGACAAGTGACAATTCCGATTGCCAATGTCTAAGAAAACAAACTAGAAGACCAAGGAACTGTAACACAAAGTAGGTGCCTTAGTTTGCTTGGGCTGCCATAACAAAATATCACAGACTGGGTGGCTTAAACTACAAAAATTAATGTTCTCACAGTTCTGAATGCTAGAAGTCTAAGATGAAGGTTCCAGCAGACAGCCACCATCTCACTATGGCTTCACAGGGCTTTTCCTTGGTGTATGTATGCAGGGTGCTCTCTGGGTCTCTTCTTATAAGGACACCAATCCTATCAGATCAGGGTCCCACCCTTATGACCTCATTTAACCTTAATAACTTCCTTAGAGGCCCCATCTCAAATATAGGCACACTGGGGGTTAGGACTTCAACATACGAATTTTGAAAGGACATAAAAATTCAGTCTATTAACGTAGGTTACTTTTAAATTAATGCTGAGCCATCAGCCCCCTCGACAAAACTGAATCTACATATGCCCCCTCTCAAGACAATCTGAGAATAATTACATTGAACGATATGCTCAGAAAAAGTCAAACCGCTTCATGCAAAAGGGAGGAGCTAAAAGGGCACATCTTAGTAAGATTCGTACAAAAATAATGCTGAAAGAGCTGCATAAACAGAGGAATGAAACCCCAAATCACAAAATTTGAGGTTAAGTATGCTGAGACATGAGATCATGAGATCATCTTGCTTCAAGAATTCCTCAAATCCAACAGTAAAGGAAGAGGCAAATCTATGCAGAATTACAAATAAACTCAAAAGGTCATAGATGATCTCAAAAACACATCAATTGTACAACAAGGTACGGCCTTGACTAAATAAAGCCAGGCTGCTAAGGATCTGTGGCCTTGCTGGCCAGATGAGCCAGTTCTACCAGCTCCCATTGTCCAGAACACGCAAACTGCTGCACAAAGGGTCTTGTTCTCATTAGTTCTCACCCTTCACACAGGGAAAATTTCACTAAACAGAATAATGACAACATAGGTTCTTTGTTATTTTAAATGTTTAAAAGATTATTTTAGATTATTTTTAGATTATTAAAGATGGCAGATAAACACTTTTACTTTCATTTCTTCTTGAAATCCCACTAAAATGACAGTAAAGGCATTTCTAAAAGATATGTAACCTACAAAAACAAAGAGATCAGGAGAGGAGAAAACAGTTTCAAACTTTTAGAAGCTGAAAAGACGATGAATGACCAATCACTCGCTTAGCAGACCCAAGAGAGCTGAATCGTAAGCTAGCAAATAAAGAAGTCCAAGATTCAACCCAATTTATGCTTCGGAATTCCCCAAATGCTCAAAAACTGTTGGCACCAGTCACCCTCAGGAACTGGGGGTAGCAGAGGCACCAACCCTCCCCCTAAAAAACCCAAAGATAGGTTTACATTCTATTTAAGAAACTGTTAGATCCACAAGTTCCTGACCCCCTGTACATGCACATAGCTGACCAGCTGCCCAGCCCACTCACCCTACGCCCAACAGAAGACAGAGGGGTTATTCTCAGAAGACAATACAAGAGAATCTATGGTCTGTGGGATAGCAAGTAGAGCTGAGAACAGGGCTGTCATACCGAAAACGGGACTAGAACAGCCCCATCACTCCCTACCTGCTTCCTGACTTCTGGTGGCCACACAAGCTGGGGAAAATTCAAAGACCCTCCTGACCAGCCCCAGAGGACTGACTGAAAGATACTGAGTTTGGGTTCCCTAAGGAAATGACCCAGCTAGATTTCTCTAAGATAAAGTCAAGCCCCATGCATGCACTTAGGACTCCCAATATGCTTTTTAATCTCCCACTTAAATATGAGCAGAAAACGAATGATCATCTGAGGAAAACTTCTAACATGAGAGATAAAAATAAACAAAAAGAAAAGAGTAATAGAGTAAATAGATATTATGCAAGGAGAAAATGACAAACGAAACAAAACGAAATAAAAACCCAAACAGTGAAACTAAAACAACTTATCCTCAGAGAAATGAGAGAAGATACTGTATCCATAAATAAATCTACACTAGGAAAAGGAACACTCAAAGAATAAAAAGACCTTAGATTTTAAAACTGTAGGGGCAGAAATGCAGGATTCATGAGAAAGTTAAGAAAATAAATTAAGAAAATTTCCTAGAATATAGAGTAAAAAAGATAGAAACTAGGAGAAAAAATATTAAAAAA